CTCCTTCTCTTTCGCCTAGTACGCTCCTCTCGCACGGCGCGGATTATACATATAGATATATTTATATATTTATATATTTATAATATATATTTTTTTTTATATAAAACTAAAAGTACCGTGATACTGATAAAATTTCGGAAAATATTAGTTATCGACGAATGCGCTTCGGTGCTCCGTAATATTATTCTTCGATAACGATAGATTGAATTCGAGAAGGTCGAGAAATATAAGTTACAGCAGATCTAAAATTCGTTTTCGATTAATAATTAATTACCTCGGTAAAAATAAGTTGAGCATACGCGATGCATATCGATTATTATATCCTCTCAATTTCCTTCCTGAAACGCTTAATACCTTGTTGTTATATTTGTTTCCTCTCTTTCATTCGTACAGGCACACGCAAACACACTCCCTGTCTTCTTCTCCCTTTCTTTCACACTCCAACTCGTCACGCGCGATATTCAATTTTTAATTTTTACTCCCAACTGATATTCCCTCTTTCTTTCTCTCTCACTTTCTCGTTCCTAGCGAACGCACAGTCGCGCAAGATAATATTAGACACTGGAACAACGCTACGAGCGCTACAAGCTCACTCGTACACCACGGATAATCGCTTTAAAAAGAATTTCAAAAGCCCAGGAACGATACACATTCTTCGTACGACACACCGTTTCGCAAAAGACTCGTCGCTCGCTTTTCTCGTTAGTCCCTCGAAAAATACTTTGTACTTGTGATCGCGTCAACGGTAAAACTCCATGCACATACATCGAAGTCGTAAAATCGGGTTTCCCCTAAACGCCATCGATACGATAAATTTCTGCTTTCGTGACACACGAATAACATTCACACGTTATACGAAAAGCGAAATGAAAAGAAAAGGAAAGAAAAGAAAAGAAAAAAAAAAGAATTATTCGAAAGCCTGTCAATGGAACGGGCGTAATTATTTCCCTTAAAAAAAGAACGTGGAAATAAAAAATAAAAAATAAAAAAATAAAAACGAAAAAGAAAAACGATGAACTTGAATAGTTATCGAAATTTAAAAAATCTGAGCGTCCACGGAGAGACCAATGTTATCGAAGAAGAAAAAGTCGGTAAAAAGAAAAGAATAATGAACGTTGGATCTGCATGTGTATCCAGTTTGGTTCGCTTTGCAGACAGAATTCCCTATCTCTCTCGTCCCCACAGGCACGCACACGTATCGCAAACACACGTACACAAGCATACGTCATTCTTGCTCAATTACAGACTACGTTAAACGCTACACGCTATGTACACCAAAAAACGTATACTTAAGCTACTCTGGGCGTTCGGGGGTTAGCCTAAAAAGTAATATAATACAGGACACGCCGTCATTCGTACTCCCTGCGACGATTACGCGGTATATATAACATCTTTGGACTCGATTTATTACACATTTATAGAGAATTATTACTTATGACCGTAACTTCTCGCGCCTAGTCTCTCTTTCTCTCTCTGAGTAGCCGCTACGTGAAACTCGACGTGGCACCTTTGTATCGGACAACTTGCTCATCAGTCTGATACAAACGTATTCTATGTCGTTCTACGTTTTGTCTTTTCTTGTCTATGCTCTTCCTCTGATACCTCACTCCTCTGCATCCTTGCCTATACTTTTCTTCTCTCTCGTTTCTCTGAATGTTGGTGCTTTCGTAGTATCCTGACGGGCGTAGCTCTTGAGATTCTGCACATCTCTCCTCTCTTTCGTCCTTTCTTTCTCTTCCCTTTCCTTATTAATGCTGGAAGACTAGCGCTCCTCCCTCTTCGTCAAAGCGCGATCTTCTCCAAAGGAGTTCCTCCAATCGGTCTGACGATCGGGCTCTCGAAACCTCAGCATCGAAAGCACTGTGTGCGTGTGTGTCGATTACTTTTATCTCGTCCATGCACCCCGTTGTTCTTCGTGCAAAATCTTCCGACAGCCTCCTCTCTGAGACACTGAAAGGGGGGCACACGAATCGTTTTGATTCCATTCCTATCGGAATCGTTCTAACACGTGGCACGTAGATTGACGACGAAGCTGTTCCTCCTGGTCGCGGGAAAAGACAATCTGCCGAGGAACTGAAGCATTAGGGTGGCCAGGAACTTCTCGCACGCGTCATGGGCCATTTTAAACCGCCGACACTTGGGCGTCTTCGTCGTCTGAAAAATTTTAACGTTTCGTTTAACCACCATTCTACCTTCTGCTTCCGTCGTCGTACAGTAGTATACTCCGATCACTCGTCTACCTTGGCTGAACCTCCGAATTTTGTTACTGATACTCGAATCCGTGCAATTTGCACTTGAGACTTGTCATGCTTCCTCTTATGCACGATAGTAAATGTATCTTCGAGAATATGTAAAATAGTAATTGTATCTTCGAAAATATATAAAATAGTAATTGTATCTTCGAGAATATATAAAATAGTAATTGTATCTTCAATTTATCTTTATTCATTTTTATTCCTTTATTCACTTTTCTGAAACTGTAATTTCTGCTCGTGTTTTCGATGCACTATTTTTCTAGAAGAGATGCGCTATGTGTGCTGTGAATAAACCTAACCAATTGCAGTAGCAATTAATCTACATTAATTTTACAATTCTAAAATTGAAATAGTCATGTATAATACTAAAAGTGAAAGAACTAATTTTATTATTTATTACACTAGCTACGTTATATCTCTAAAACCTGCCTTACCAATTGCCAGTCAGTATAATACAGAATTTTAAAAAATGCATTAAGACAGGTGTATACTAAATTTCATTTAGAAACTACAGTTTCAACGATAGCTGAAAAATGAATGTTCGCCAAAGTAGACGCGAGTCCCTTCGTTCAAAGAGAAACACAGCGAATACATCTATCGGAGTGTCGTAGAATTCCTTAGAGAAAAACCAGCTGCAAAATGTATATAACGTAATATCTATGTATTTCCAGAAAAAAATGTGACATCTTCGTCGAAACAAAAGGGATCGTGGAGTGACGTGACGTGCAAGTGAAAAATAAATAAAAAAAAAAAACTAATTTGGACTCAAGCAAGCTCTCGACATGCCTCGACACGACTGGTGGAACACGAGACTGTACAATATGCAAAGGTGGAACATAAAGTATCGCGATCCATCGGGCGATCAGCTCGCAACAAGCCTCCACAACACAGCGAGTGCACGAGACATCGATGCAATCGTGATTCGTTCGAGATGCAATAACGAACTCGTTCGCTGGCCAAAATGCGGATTTACTATGCACAAACAGAGCTGGTGCTGCGCTGAACGATGCTGGCTAGCGTTGGGCAAAAATTGAAAATAGAGAAAAAAGGAGAGAAAAACAGGAAAAAAAAAGAAATAATATTCGAGATTCTGAAAGAAAAAAAAAAAATATAAAACAGAACACGAGGTTGAGTTATGCACACAGAAAAAACGCGTGGTTACACAGGCACTTTGCATTAGAATGTACAGGTGAGAGACAATGCGGATATGTGTCGTTATTTACAGTACGCTGCGATCGTCGAGGAGAAGATAAATAAGAAACATGTACATCGAATAACAAACAACGACGATTCGTTTGCAGAATCGTCCATCGACTAGGCATGTATGTGTGTTTGTGTGTGTGTTCATACATACATTGTACTCGACCGATAGAAATGGCATAAAGGTAGATAGAGATCGGTGTGCAGTGTTCATATGCTCATCCATCGGAAAAAGAAGATTCCACGAATCTTCCGTGTGTCATTTTTGATTTTTATTTCATTATATTGGAGGAAGTAGAACTTTCTGATCAGAGTGTTCGAGAATTGAAAAAATAATCGTAATCGAGATCGTCACGGTGAAAAATGTTACTGAACGTGTGGATTTTAATTTTTATTCTAAATTTTGGATTTAAATGCAATTGAATTTTTCAGACATGGTACACACTGTGAACTCTTATATTTGTAATCGTAATTCGGAAATTTGAGAATCTGTGAACTAATGAATTTTTGCATTCGTCGTATCGAAGATGATACTTTGGAAAAAGTGCAATGAAAATGTTTCATTATTACTAAATACTACAGTGACGAATTAGTGCTGGTTTTAAAAATAGCGTGTTTAATTATAAACGTGATCGATAGATTCGAACTTCGTTGAATGCAGTGAGGAACAAAGAATTTAAAGAAGAGAAGTACAAGTGTGTGTGTCGTGTACATGTCTGAAAAAATAAAGTAGAAAAGGTGCAGAAAAATATTCGCTATTGCGCGGCAAATAAGTGAAACGATAACAAAATCAAAGACTGTAATTAACATTTTTCTCCGTGCATTATCGATAATCAGTGATGGGACTGATACAAGATTTATCGATAATCCTGTAACTAGCATAATTCTTTGGCTTTCTTTCCGAAATAACACTGGAATCGAAATAACTGATCTATCAAAATAATAAAAGCTAATATCACGAATGTAACATCGATACCATTGTCAGTACACGTAAAATTTGTTTTCGAGTAATACCGATCTCATACTTTCGTCAACTATAAATACCATAAATAAAACACATCTCGAATTCAAAAAAATAAAAAAAAATCTGGAAAGTCATCTCACAAAGAAATCCTTATTTCTATACAACGGTCCTCTATATACAAGCATGTACAAAAGTTCTCATCCTTCTAGGAAAACATTAATTACTACTCAGCTCGCTCTATCCCATCATCCATTGCACGAATACTAACTTATTCATTCCTCTACATCCTGCACGGATCTCGATAAAGCGTCTACGCATACCTCTGCTGTAACGCTAATGTACTCGAGTGTCAACGCTATGTACTCGGCTCGTATCACATACCAATAATCTCAAATAACTATCGTTCCTCTCTTCCAAATGTTTAACACGCCATTCTACCCAAACGAGCTATCCGTATGTACACCTTATCGTCTAGCTCGTACGAAACTAGCGGTACTAAACTCCATATCACTCCCATCGCTATATCGAGACAGTGGTAGGGAGTACAGGCCTCGAGGAGACGAAAAAAGTATGAATGCAAAACTTGAAAAAAAGTATAGAGATATGTACGTGATACGTCTAGAAAAACGTGGTAGGTAGAGTAGATTGTATCATAGGTAGCGATTGTGTTTGCTTTGTACCATCTTCATGGTCGTTCCTGTAGGTAACACCCTCGTGGCTGTGGGCACGGCCAAGCCTGTGCAACCTTGCCATCTGCGCTGCAACTTTGTACGCGGGTGGCTGACGACACTGCGCGGTACCGACTCCGGGGCGCATCGTCGTCATCGACGTCATGGTAGTCATCGTCGTCATCGTCGTCATAATCGTCGTTCCAGCTCCTGGGGGAGGAAGAGCCGCCGGTACTCCGAGGCCCACGCCTACTCCTAATCCCGTAGTACCTGAAAACCCTCGACTCTCTTTCTCTCGATCTCTCACACCCAGCACTCCTGCTCCTCAACAACCGCTCACCCCTTATCCTTCGCCATGTAATTCATCGCCATTTGCGACTCTGAACGAGCACGAGGATTGGAAATGTCGAAGAACGTGCAGAGAAATGGTGGTTCGTGGCAGACGCTGTAATAGCCTCTGGGTATAAGCTGTGTTGGTTGGATTTGGATTCGCTTTTTTCTGGACGTTTTTGATCTTTGGGTTCTGAGTTGGGTTGTCGATAATCCGGAAAAATATCCGGGAAATTTCTCCTTTCGTTATTTACGACAGATCTTCGAAGTTGGTGGAGGGAAAGTTGGTTTTACGGTGCCGATGGTGGATGAGAATAATTTTGTCCTGTATTATAGATTTTTGGAAATGGGTATACATAGATGAGTAAAATTCGTGTCGGTGGAATTATCAGCATAATTTTTGGAATATTCAGTTATCTATAGATACGAACTTATTAATAGTAATTAATCTGTTAATTGTACAATTAGTTAAAAGTTCCTACAGTCACGTGACAATTTCGAGGAATTAATCTCAGTTAAGTCGATTTTAATTGAAGCCAATATTAAGATAAACTAATATAAATGTGACGAAGCGTTAGAAGGCAAAGGATGTGTTATCTAGCAAAATAAATTATGTCCAAAACATCGGTGGTCCAGATGATATGCTAACTCGTCGTTCGCGGTTATCAAAATAGTACGATCTAATGACTACTTTAATAGAAACTTCTTCTATTATACTCTTTTTACTAGAGAATCTTTGCATACCACTTACACTTGTACCAAATTGTTGGAATTTCGCAATACCAAGTAAATAAAATATTTCCTTCCAAAAATTATGGGCGATATCACTTCCTCTATCTTTGGCAAAGAGAGAAAAAGAGAGGAAGAGACACGACGACATAACGGGACTCGTCGTACTCGTTCGGAACGCAGACACGAAAGAGATGAACCAGGTTTACGAGGAGGAAACTGTACATCACACTCGTTATTCACCGCTAGATCAACCCAAGAAGAGGAAAGCGCAGAAAACCAGTTAATATATGTACCCTGAAAGGAAGCCTCGGTTCTCCGTTAATCCTGAGAAAACGCGACATAGTGAAAACACGGTCACACACGGTCGATGCCAACGCACACTTTTCTATATACGCACGCATGACCTGCACACACGTGTAGAGCAGGCAACGATACTCACGTGATTGTTAGCGTGCACGCGCCAACCCTTCGAGCAAGCGATTAATACAGATTAAGCCGATGCATTTGCTGAACGTATCAATGAATGCCTTCAAGCCCAACACGTTGCTTCCGGTCGGTACAGACCTCCATATTTACTACCAATCCCTTTCTCTCTAGTGTTCCAAAAGATTAGTAGAGTTTTACGTCTATTCTAATTAATTCGCTGCGATCCTTCTACGGAGCCCAACACCAGAGACACTAGCGTTATCTACGTCATGCACGAATCTACGGATATCCGGAAGCAACGCGGTCGTATATAGCCAACAGATCTATGAGAAAGAGCTCAGCCTAGTTGCAGGAGAGAAACTCAAGACACAGGCATGACAATCGCGGACTCACCTTGAGGATTTTGGGGTTGGTGATGGTGATGATCGTAATAATGTTGGTGGTGATGGTGGTGGTGGTGGTGATGATGATTGTGGTTGTGATTCTGGTTGTGGTTGGCAGGAAGCGGAGGTAACACTGCTACCGCGTGAGGGAACGGAGGTGCACCACCTCGCAAAACAGACCCTGCACCACACACAGGCCACATACGAAATGTTTCTTTACAAAATGTACAATGACACACCGGTTCACCGTCGGTGGTATCTATCTTTTTCTTTTCTTTTCATTTTCTTAAAATTTATTTCAGCCTTCTTCTCGGCTTTTCTCCTTCCTCGTTCGGGAAGACGTATGAATGGAATGGGGGATGTGCGATGAAAATCGCGAGAACGTTAAAAGGATCTGTATAATTTATTCGGGGGGATGAAAGAGATAAATAAGATTCGTGTCCCTCTCTGAACGTGAAGGAAGATTCCTAGAGTGAGTGCCGCGAGTGGAAAGATCGCAAAAATTGGGTCGAAGTGTCGTATATATAAATATCTATGTATGCGTGTATGCGTGAATAATGCCCCTGCGTAAAGAAGCGAGTCTCTGTGAAAAAGCTTCAAGCGATAAATGTACTGAAAGCAATTGGAACTCCCGGGATAGAAGCGGCTATAAAGCACGTTCACCTACGTTATCGGCGCAACGCTCGGCTAAACGATAAATAAATAAAGTACCGGAGAGGACGGTAAAAAGAGTAAACGTATATATAGAGAGAGATATATATATGTATGTATATGCTGCAGCTTAAATTGTACGGAGCTCTTTTTCTTAGCTACCATAGACGAGATAGAATGAAGATGAGTGGCCATGGGACATACGTTTTCTTTTCAACGTTAGAATCTAATCGTGACCCGACAGTGAAACGAATGATTCGGAGGAGTAAACGGACTACGACTGTGTGAAACGGCAAACTGTAATGAGAAAACATTTCGATTACTTCGGTATCAAACGAGGAAAAAGACAATTTAAAAAAAAAAAAACAAAAAAAATGAAAAAAAAAGGATATATAGAAAAAAAAATTTAAAGCGAAAAGTAGACGTGTCAATTACTCGAGGGATATTCATATAGTCATCACGAGACGTACAACAAATATCACACGTGTCTAAAACGAATCATTCTCGTTTGCTAACTACCAAAAAATATAGAACGATACGTCACACACTACTAGAAAAACAAATTCTTTCTGTACGATCACTTTTGCGTTTAAAATAAAAAAAAAAAGAAAAAAACAAAAATGAAAAAGAATAAAAGAAAAATGGAAACAGAGACTCATCGAACACCCAACCGTACCACGAAACGAACTTCCCACGCAGTTACTGTGTCAATCAACGTCATACACGATATACACGTGTCGTCGACAACGACGACGCTTTAATTAAAAAATAAAATGAAAAAAAAAAAAAAAACCACTCCAGATTCTTTCTTTGGTTCTACCTTCTAAACTACGGTCTACGGAGCGGGCAAAAAAGGGAACAAGAGAGGTAATGAGCACGAGCTTGTGGAGTTATTTGGTCTCTTTTGGTTCAAGTTTACGTACCTTGCATAGCGGAGTGCCGTCTTTGAGGTGGCGGTGGACTACCACCAGCTTCTACGCTGCTTCCGCTGTGGCTGTCCAGCTGTGTACTGTGACCACTGTCACTGCTCGTCACCGAACCTACGCACACGTCCCCAAGACACTTCTATCACTACACATTCTATCCCAGTTCTCGCCCTGATGCGCCCTCTAACTGCTAACTATCTAACAAATATTAATCGCGTTCATCGAACACGTGTACTCCGTTATCACTCTCTCTCTTTCTCTCTCCCTCTCGCACGCTCTTTCTCTCGCTTTCTCGCTTGAAAAATCAGAGCCAATAAACGTCAGTCGGTGACGCCTACGAAAATGTCGACTTGGTCGTGATTAAAGGTCACACACTCGCACAGCGTTTGTTTCTCGATGCACGCCTACCAGAGATCGTCCTTCTGTAAGCGACTAGTAGCTACTGGTACTAACAAAACTGAGTTCTGTGTCAAACTATCAAAGGGAAAAGCGAAATTGAAAAAAAATATTAGTTCCTGGAAAATGAGATTTGTCAGAGGGAAAATTCCCAGGAACAATATTCGTGTTTCCTACGATTAATCATCGTTCGGTTTAAAATGAGGATATTATTGATATAATTTGTAGTAAAATTTAGAGCTACTGACTATTCGAGTTGTTTACAAAAAGTGATTGAAAAACATAGACTATAGCACTGAGATTAAATCGCTGAAGGATATGATTCACGCGTCCGTATGTCCCATGGTGAGTGATCTAAATTGAAGCTAGACGTGCTTCGCCCTGGGATCAGGACCGTGATGTGTATAACACGGGACGATAATATTGATCGAAAAGAAGCGCGAGCTACGGTAATCGGCGTACAAGATGCGTGTAAAATGGATAAGCTAAATATAAACATGGAACATTTATGAATTGCGTAAACGGCTGTGCAGCGTGCATATAAAATGAGATAGTTTCTTAGAATTTGCGAAACCTGACCAGTGTGTATGGTCACGAGCAATGAAAGGTGCATTTAATGGTACTTCGCGAGATGTGTCTGCTGTTTCGTGTGTCGCAATAAAACAACGTTCAAAATAAAAACAAAAAGAAGCACCGTGTGATTTATCGTCTAAAGCTAGCAATATGTATAGAGACACAGAGAAAACTTGACATCGTAAGGTATTCACGTGTACATGTGTGTATATGTGTACATGATGTATGTTAAACGGTGATCGACAGCATCTCGCTTCGAACCATTTTATGTGTCGAAATTAATCAACTTACCACTGGTCAACGTTTTTCTTAACGGCTGAAGATTGCTCAGGCTGGTTACGCTACTACTTTCAGCGCTGAGATCGACAGGTGGCGGTAAACTGGAAGGAGTATCGCTATGGGATCTCTCATGCATAGGAACTCGGCTACCAGATCCTACTCTCCTAGGTGCACCGGGACTAGGCTCCAGTCCACTGGAATGCAACGCCAATCCCGGCACTGGAAGCGGTGGTGGACAGTGTTTAGGTTGGTACGGACGAGTTTTATGAGGATCGGAAAGCGCCAACATTTTCCGTACTGCTTGTGGCGATGCTGCTCCGAACTTTGTACCTAAAAATGCAGAATAATTAATATTCTGCTAATCGCTGCATATAAACGTTCAGTTTATACAACGTTCAAATAAAATAAATAATCGAAAGGGATCGTACCTTGTATACTCTTTCTACCTTCACTGGTACTGCTGGCACTGCTTGTAGTCGACAGAGTGGGAGAAGGATGCCTTCTTCCTCTACTCGCACTAAGAGGTACCGCTGCGGCTACTGCAGCAGCTCCTGCATGAGGTTCACATTCCACAGACAAAGCGTGTAATCGCTCCTCGTCAGTTATCACTTTCATGTTGGCAAGGTATGCTTTCACTCTTCGAACCATCTGCGCCTCTTCGAACATTTTTTTCGGGTTTGGTGCAGCGGTAGACTTTTTTCGTCTTTTCACCGTTGCCGTCTGTCCTCCTGGGCATTGCAACACTGTTAGTAAAAACGAATCGTCACATTTCTGGCCCTGTTCCTACACATTCGGATTACGTTACCTTGATTGCCAGTTGTCATTTGATTTAACGCAACCATGGCAGAACTAGGCGGTTGACCACCTCTTTCTAGCATTACCGATAAATCGTAGGGCGAAGAACACATGTTTGTTAACGTTCTCACTTCTTTTGCGATCATTCTCAGTTTTTCGAAATTCACTAAACCTTCCACTCTGGAATCGTTGCCGAGGTGTATGAACGTCAAATCTTTCTTCACTACTGGATAAAATGGAATCTAAAGAGAAAATGTTCAGTGTTATTCCATTATTTAATGCATGAAATATTAAAGAAAGGTAATAAGTCAAATATAAGGTTAAGGTGAAAACTTACTATAGGTGGTTGCGTTTGTTCAGATGCTACCAATTGTCGGTATTTGCTCATGTTACGACTAGGGTCCATTAATTCTTGTAAATCACTAAAGAGCCTTTGATATTTACTTGGTAGTTTTTCCCAAGACGCTCTTAACCTGGACACAGCTCCATGACCCAAACCAGACACGATTGCAAACATGGAATTGAAATTTTTGCATTCCTTACATTGCCCTGTTCGTAACAAACATAAAAATGTTTAAAGATGTGCACGATAAGAAAACGTCGATGATTATGAGCAAAGAACTTACGGGCTATTTTTATAAATTGCTTTATTATTTTACTACGTCGAACTAAATTGTGTTCAGAACAAACTTCTGTCACAACCCAAAACATTTCTCTGTTGACTAGTTCTGCGAACTGCCTGAGCATAGGCACTCCATATCTACTTTTTAATTCGAATAAATCATCGACATATTCCGTAGATTCAATTTGCCTAATGATAGCACATGAATTAATATTTCCGTTTTCGTAAAAATAACTTGCGAAGATATTAAATATATTATCGATTTACCTGAATATACTGAAATCTTGCAGAGTCAATTGAATCGCAACTTCAACAGCATTTAGTTGTAAGAAATGAACCTGAGATTCGCGTATGAGTTCTGGCGCTTGTTCATCCGCTACGAACGTCTCTGAGATGCCATTAGTTTTTAAATAATATCGAGAACTTAAGCCAATTCTTTCCGCGAGATTTTGCAACTGATCAGGTAACCTGCGTTGTTTAATCATACCCCCCTCTCCAACGCTAACTTCAGCTAAGGAGAAATTTGAACTGCCTTCAGTTATACCAAATTCTTGAAGAGCCAGCATTACCACCTAAAAGAGTATATTAGCATACAAATAGAAAACTTCGATGGTGCATATTATTTTCCAAGATTAAAATATCTACCTCGTGCGCCGTTGTTTCTTTGTGAATAAGAAGGTATTTACAAGTTTGATCGGCTTTGTAAACTTTCAAAACGTGTTCTGGATAATCAGGTGCCCTTAAATCGTCGTAACAATACAACGATGTGAGGTCGGGATTACTTTTTGAGTGATAAAGATTAGTAGTCTGTGAAAGTCCTCCTGTTCCCGGTGGTGTATGAGGAGGTGCGAGAGGATCGTCTACATGCACACCATCACTGTAAAATAGATTACATTTAATTAGCATACATTTTTTTTCATTTAGATAAATAGTATTACAAATACATTTTTAACTTACTTAATAGTATTCTTTGGCAGTATATTCATTTTCATGAGAGCTTTTTGTAATCTCTTCTTCGGTCCAAGCGTCATAAATCCTTTATGCTCCTTTTTAGCATCTTTACAAGGAGAAACATTAGAATCGGGAACTAACAGTGGTACACCACCCACCAAAGGGTTCAATGGATTTACTGGATTTATCGGGTCTACATGCGTGGACAACCTTGCACGTGGATCTGTTTGTAATCTTGAAATCTCGGGTTTGTTTGCCCTTCCCCGCGGCCTCGGCGAATCATCTGGCATCTGAAGCATTTCTTTAAACGCTACAACAGTAATTCATTGCTCGCATAAAAGAAATATAATTCACATTTTATTGTTTTTATAAAATCCCACATACCAAGCAAGTTCGATTTAACAGTGATACTGAGATGAGTAGATCCTCTTAAAATTTCAAGAGCCCTGGCATGACTCACGTGCTCAAAACTCTGTCCATTTACTTCTAAAATCTGATCTCCACGTTTTAAACCGACATCTTCAGCCTTTGATTTTTTATCTACTTTTGAAATAAAAATGCCAAAACCCCTTTCATATCCCCCCAAAATACTAAAATGCAGGACCTCATCCCTCGTGGGCCTTGCTAATGTTACATTCCGCGTTCTGGCTTTTGCTGCACATGCAATGTTTAATAATCTAGAATTGATATGAAAGTGTTTAATATCACTGCTTAATAACTATAAAACAAATAATATTAACAAAAACTTATATATACCTTTGTTGCCCTTGCATTTTCTCCCTTTCTAATCCAGCTTCGAATGCTTCTAAAAATTCCATCATAGCTGGATCAGTTTCAAAGTCAGTAAAATGATTATTTACCCAAAGAAGTACTACACGGGCAACTCTGTCTCTGACTTGTGCTTGATCAAACCATTCTAACAATTGACTTGCAACTAATAAGGGACTATCGATAAATGTTCGATGAGTTAATAAGAAATCTTCTATATAAGTGGGATCGGTAATACTGTTTTCTTCAATAAGTTGTAACATTAAACGTTCAGGAGTTCCGCGTATAACTACATGACCCCTGCGTGCTCCGCCATCTAAAGCACCCCTTAATTCCGTTACTAGAATTACTCTCCCGTTTTCTTCATGCCGCCTCGTATTTTCTTCTCCTTGATGTTGAATTCTAAAGTAATCTGCCTGCGTGACACATACAAATTGGCAGTCATCACATCTAAAAATAAAAATAGATCATATTAATATAAATTGTTACTTTTATTCAATGACTATAAGTGACAACGAATAACTAATATGAAACTCACTTTGTCCTCATGACACCTCTATGCAAAAGTCTTTCCATAGTGGGCAAGATTCCAAAACTGTCACCAAGGTGCAGTTGTTCAATTTCTCCATTGCTATGCTCAATTTCCACAGCACCATTTATAAGCACACTCCAACTATCTAATTCTTCTCCATCATTTAAAACTATCATACCAGCACGTTCAACCACAGCAAATACCATTACAGCGCACAGCGCTCTCCTTACAGCCAAAGTCATATTTGTGAAGGCCTTTAGTTGTTGTGTGAATTCTAAGAGTGTTTCTATATCATCTTCTGTCCTTTCCATTGGATCTTTCTCTAAACATTCTCTAACTGGATCACGGACAGTCAAGCTCTACAAACGGCAAATAACTCTTATTAATATAATTATAAAACAGTCTTATTAATATAATTATTTTCTGTATTAAAATATAGACCATTATTTTGAAGGAATATACTTACGTCCATGCTTTCCGCAAGATCTTCTTCTTCATCGCTATCCACTATAGATTCAACAAGCCCTGAAAGATCAACATCATCTGCATCTGCATCTAATGAACCTTGTACAGATGTCATGGTGTCTGAACCACTGTATGCTGAACTCGTGTCACTCGAATGGCTGCTTCTATTGGACTTTTGGTACAGCTCTGGCCTGCCTGTCAGGCCTTGAGAAAACTACAAAAAAAGAGAATTCTTCAGTTAATTATGTACTCGATTACACATTTTATTGCACAATATTTATTCATAATTATTATTATAAGCTCCTAGTAAATATTTATAAAATAAATTTATATACTAAATATTTATAACTGCATCAATTTTCTGTTAACCATGACCCATGACGTATTACTTTAGCATTAATTGAAGGTGATCAACATATTCGTTTTATTATTACTACACTCTTAAATATGTAAACTAAAGTGTTTACATTAATGTACATGCCAGACGATCTTAATACAAAGCAGCGCATTCTTCATCGCGATGTATCAGTGCAATCACGATTGTAAACAATAGCACGGTGCAGTCCAAGAGAAGATATCAATACACCGTTCAATTTCTTTGCAAAAAAACCTACGAGAATAACGTGCAATTTATTATCCATGGATCGACATCGATCTGTCAATCGACAGGAAGAGGCTGCAAAGAACGGGATCAAGAAACATGTATGACAAAAACATGGGTACTACGAGCGGTACTCGTTTACGGAATAGTACCAGGAATGGGCGTGATGGGGACAGGCTCTCGTCTTAAGTTAGGTTAGGTTGCCAGACATGACATCACGCACGCAACATCGAGCGACCAGAGAAAACACACACGGCAGGAAAGAGACAGAAATAGTGGCACGTACATATGTCTAAACAAAAACATCGTGACATCTGTCATCCCACGATAATCAGCAACGATCATCTACGATCATCCGCGATAACGAATCGTTCGTAGGAAATCTCAAGAACGAGGAAAGTATCGCGGTAAACCAAGGCCATTTTGAGCCGCGGGAGATCATCAGACTCACTTGGTACATGCCGAAGGCGTCCATCCTATCGTCTTAATAATGGCACTTGCTCGGCACTTTACTCTTCCGTGTTTCAGATCACGAGAAATAACGTGAAGAACAACCAGTGTCCGGCCACATTCTCTTTTCGTTACTTGTCCACGATTCGATCGAACTCGCGAAACTCACACCTCTCATTCGCGAGCGCATATGCGGCCGTATATACACACAGCGCGACGTGACCTTCTTTGTGTGCATTTACGAAGCTCGTGGCGCGTCTGGTGTGCCCCGTGTCGTGGGCCGTCAGCTTAGCGAAGTAGCGGACATGGGACTGCCTCTCGTCCCTCCCCCACCCTTCGTCCTGCCACCGGCATTCCCTTCGAAAGTGTAGGGTCACGTGACCCGAACGAGCGGCAAGCTTCAGGTCCGTCGCAATAGGGGGGCGCACGTTGGGGGGCCCACCTGTAGCTTCTGACCGTGACACTAACAAAACACTCCTATCGATGACGTGCCGAAAATGTGCCACAAAATTTTTGTTTTACCCTATTTAATAATTAATTACCGAATACATACTGTTTTTGTAGACATATTTCTATATTACTGAACACTGCGTTTTGTATTTTTCAAGTATCAAATTTGTTAAAAAAATTCTTCGTAAATATCAAGTTAGTAATTTCTCGATTATAATCTACGTAATTTTGAAGATAAGGCTAGGCACGACAGGTACGTATCTTTGAAGAAGAACATTGCAATCAAATGAAACTTCGTAGATAAAACAATTCTCCATGAATAACTAATTGCATGCCAACAAGGATAACCAGTCATCGATCAAGTTGCATGAAGAAATAATTTATCCTCAACCATCACGAAACACTATTGCATAAAATTTCCGCGCGTACATCTGGAATCGGCGACCACACTCATGGCGAGATGAAACGCGTGGCTTAAAGGACGATCGTGTGAAACGAGCTTAAGGAGTCGACGGTCGGTCAATCGTCAGTCGGTAAGCGATTGAGAGAGAAGGAGGATACTCGGAGAAAAGAGTACCGGTCTGCTCAAAGCATCCAACACAGCGGATAGTAACTGCTTAAAGGCCACTGGCCGACCCGACGGATGATTTATACGACCCGTTATGTCGTGCCCATGTCTCACTTTTCCTTTTGTCCTGCTCCACAGACTTTCCAAATTGCTTCTCCCATTCAGTTTCTTCCTACTCGACCGACAGACAGTGGCATACCAGTGCATGCCACCGATGTACATTCCTCAGACTCTTTAGGGGAGAGACACTCTAATGTAGATCATCTTACTCGCACGCGTTGCGCCTTAAACTTTCGATCCGAAGCGCCGCATGCTGGAAGGACTAGCGAGGGAAAGCGGAACTACGTTGCACTATTTTTATACGAAATTGAGGTGTTATCTGTATTTCAAATAAAAAATTTCAACGTTATTTCAATCGAAATTACCTTTCCAATAGAAATAATACTTGACATCAAATTTAAATTTACACTTAAAGAAGGTTACATTAAAATTTTTTATTTGAGCTGAGAATAATTACGAATATTTTTTTATATCTAGAAATTGACAAAATTTATAAGAAAATTCGATACGATAAAACTAAAAAATGACACAATAAATTTCAAGAGCTTCGAAATCGATAATAGAGCGTATTCAAGGAAGGATAAAACGATTATTTATAATCTACGAAGGAAAATATTTTCCGAGTACAGCGAGTCCGTAAATTACGTCTCACGTTACGTTCCACTTTCTAATATATGAAAACCTTTTCTCACTTAACCACGATCACTGTTTATTCGTTGCAGCCCAATTATATGTATCGGTGCAAATAGAAAAATTCACGAAGTGACAAAACGTCTGGTCGCGCGGGAGCTTCGGGCACGGATTTAAAATTCATGAGAAGGCGTACGGCGATGAAAAAATAGGCTGCTTTAGAAGTCGCCACTAGTCGCTTTCAATGTGATCCACCATGCTTCATCCATTTTCTCTCCTCCTTTCCCGTCTCGATTAGTGCAAACATGTGGGCGTCCCGTACACACGCGTCACGGATCGACGACATCAAACTTTCTTTCAACGATCTGCACGCCGATGACGTAAGATAAATGATCGTGAACCGTTGCGGGGAAAATGATCAGCAAAAGTGCACGAGTTCCGATTTACCGATAGATACTCGCCATGAGTCTCTGTCGGATTGCATCTGATACGAATGCACCTCCCTATCGATTGTGCTAAATTGAAACAAGGTGTAACCGAGTCTACCTTTGCAACTGCGAGAACGGCTTGAACAACTATGTCTTCATGTTGGTATAATTAATTATTTCGAAAAGCATTGTCGATAGTTGTACAACTTTTTACAGTCGTAACCACAGCAAAGAAATAACAGGCTTGGAAAACAGCTGATATCGTATTTCATTTTAACTACGTTATCGACCTAAAAGAAAATTACTATCTCTGAACGAACATAGAAGAGAAAGTACTGAGAACATCCTAGTTTTTTCCAAAGAGGTACTATTGGCGCTATAAGTGAAAGGCGAAGGAGAAAAATAAATATCAAAAGGAACAGGGTAATAATGAAGAGGTTAGGTTCGATATTTATAAAATGTACAAAAGTAAAATCCTCATATAAAATGATATACATAGCAACTATTAATTTCGATAAGCATAAGAATATATGATATTAAAAATAAAATAAATAAATATTTCTGTATAATAGATCAGGATATCTGAAAATTCAGGATATCTGCATTACCTACAATAACCTAATCGAAGCTCATCATCGACAAATACAGTGAAAATTAGTCATCGATTGCCATTTTAAAATAACTGAGCGACTCATCGAACACTAAATCTTGCCTATTTCGAACAAATATATTTCTGACGACATCGCTGGAGCGTAGGAATTCAGGTCGAAAAAGGAACGTCGACGTAAATGCGTTCTTCAAATCTGACCGAAGGTACGCCTGCAATTTCTACCTGCAGAAGAGATGAAAAAAAGTTCGAACAGATGTTTACCGTGTCATCGAAGACCAAGTTGACCTGTCGATGGTCGGTAATGGGATGAGGGTGCGGTGGTCGATGCATCCTTCCTCCATGCACTTCCGGGTAGTCGATCTGCAAAACAGAAAAAGACAGGGATGGTTAGAAGAATAATTACAATTAAATTCCTTGTTTCTTTCGTAGTATAATAATTCACGTTTACGTTTCGCGCATAAATCGCGCTTTATCGATAATCCGATTCACGCGACGCAACCTGCGCGCTAATATTTTCTGGTTCGTGCTAACCTTTCACCTTTTGCAGAGCACGGAACACTGCAGTCGGCACCCTTTTCGAAGCTTAAAAATATAGGAATTGTTTGACGCGCGCATCCGCTGGGGATAAGTCCCGTGGATTTATTCAGCAAAGTTGGTACCAGCTTGAGAGAAATGGTAGAAAATATTCGTTTTCACGTCCATAAAAGATTTTTAATTGTCGAATTGCAGTAGCGATTACGAGCGAATATTCTGAAAAGGCTCAAAATAATCTCTCTTTTATTATTTTGTTAATCTACAATATGAGACAAAGATAAATATTAACTGTATAAGAATAATGGCATAAGGAGAATAAATAGAAACATATAATATGTTAACAAAAATAAATATTTTACAGCAGCTGTATATTTCCAGCAATTATAATAAAACCAAAAATGTGAAATTGGTTATTTTAACAAATCTAGTGTTTCTAGAATTAATATTCAGGTATCAAAATTGTACACTTTTGCTCTTATTTCAGATATAGAAATTCTGTAACGAAACCTTAATTCCCTTTGTTTCGTTAATATTCCTAACAACATCTACATACATTACACCATAACCAAGGGGGCTAATCTTCACGGAAAAAATGAAACAATTACACAAACATCGCAAGGCTACACGCAAGGTACTACACGTAATTCTCTTAGACCTAACAACGGTTCTCCAGAATCCCGCAATCAACATCCATCAAACTAACATTTCGCAGGAAATTCGAGGGCTTGAACTCGAGCACACAAATTCTCATCCAAGCTGGAGACCAGCGTCAAGAGGGAAAAGCGTGTTTCGAATTTCTCTCGTGTGACAAACAGCTCCCCCGCAAAAGCAGCCGTGTCGTCCCCGGGAACGACACCGTGACGTTGATAATCTAATCCGGTTCCACCTGCGACTTCTGCAGCTGCGTCAACTTCTCGCCCCCTCGCGTTACGTACGAGCTCGTGCCTCTCTTTTTCGGTCAACAGCGCGACGTTGTTCGGCGACGTACACGCAGGGGAGAGAGAAAGAAGGAGAGTGAAAAAGGAGAGACGAACGAGAGGAGGAGAGGGAGAGGAGAGAAAAGAGAAGAAAAAAAATAAACGCGGAGAGACAACGAGATGAGCGTGCCTCGGGGCCGGAACCCGTAGGCCGGACTTCCGGTAGATACGCCGATTATACTCGCCATTCACAGAACCGCTCCCTCGCGACTCGATTGTTAGAGGCGAGCGGCATTTAGCCAATTTCGGGATGAAAGTTGAATTTCCACCGGCCGACGATACGCTGATTCGATTGGGAACAGCCGATGCGAAACGCGGCGCTCACGTCGCGAAAAATATTGTTCGACACGCCGGAAATTAACGAAACGCCTTCCCTCGGTCGTTGGAAAATATCACGGGATTCTGGTATTTACACATTACCGATAACGTGTAACGTTCGTGTACGCTCGCAGCGTTATTTCGAGTAATTTGTAACTTTTAATTGATTTCCACTGACATGTAATAATCGCTGTGGAAAATTATTCACGGAAATTGTATGGCTGAATATACCTGGATGTATCGTGTGGTAACGTTAGTTTATTGGAAAGTCGGGATTCCATGACAAGCTTTTTCTGCGAATACTTCCTTTCTCTGGTACTCTTTGTTGTTTTCTTTTCTTTGCGATGCGAGTGTGAAGAAGAGAGTGGAACTAGGAGAAACTTAGGAAATTATTAGTTGTATAGATAGCTATATCTAAGCTATAGAGTTTTATAGAGATGTTTTTGCGCACACTGATGTTCCAGTGAAATATTACAGACAGATTCTTTTTATACATGCAGTGTAATATCAATTATTCAACATACTAATTTGACCAGATATAGCGAAATTCTGAAAGCCTGTGTTGGAAAGGCGCGTTTAAAAGGTTGTTTAAAGTAAGATGTAAAATGACTGTCATCCAATTTCTATGAATAGTCGTTTCGTCTGGAATACCATCTAACTTCTTCCTACTCAGGAATCTCGGCAAGATAATGGAGCAAGTATGTTAATTATCGATTACACGAGCTAACCTGCCCCCTATAACCCCCGCTCTTCTCCATGTCCGCTTCATTCACGTCCTAAACCACAATTCACCACTATACATCGAAGATGCTACAGGTGAAAGTATGCTGCGGAGATTATCCCAGCCATCGACCGCAAAGAATTAAAAAGAACAGGTCATTTTTCTACTTTTTCTTCATTTTCTAACTATACATCCCATCCTCCGTTATACCTACAATTACCGTCCGCATTATAATTTCTCTCCATGGAGAAGAGTCTGTACAAATATCTGCTAATCCTTGCGAATATTTATGAAGCATTGTTTGTCCAGCCTAATCTACATACATTTATTTTCAATGTCGATATTCCTATCTTTCACATCCCGCAGGTTTACGTAGACATTGCGTGTGTGTAACGCTTGCATATGAATTCTCTGTGGCACGTTCTGCGCCACGTGGGTCGTGACTGTCGACAAACATAAAGAAGGTGCTTTTTCGATGTTCCATTCAACTAACAAGGTCAAGAATATTCTAATTATTCCACATCAAATATTCCAATGAGATTCTCACACTGTGATTAAATTTTCTACCGATTGTTATCTCAACAGTCACACCTGTTAAACGCAAGAGTACCATGAAATTACTCAAAATTGTAGAATTCTATATCCAAGTGAAAAAAAAAAAAAAAAAAAAAAAAAAAAAAAAAAAATAAAGAAAGAAGAATAATTGGAGAAAATTGTAAGGAAAGTTGCAAGACTTCGATTATGGCCGATTATTCTTTATTAAGCTTAGGACTCTTTGTGTCGTGGAATTTTTCACTTATCGTGGTATCTTTTATCTGTTCGTTAGCTCAGAGCTGCGCGATTCGAAACGTCGCCAGGCCGATTTCTCAATGAGTTGCCCGTTCGAACGCGTAAACAAACGCGCAAAAGGGAAACGAAGTGGATCACGCGCCACGCTCTGTTTGCCGAGGCGCGAATTATAATGGCGAATCGTGGGGCGTTCGCGGGCCCCGCAAGCGGACACGAGTCGCGAAACGCGTGACGCAACGCGGCCGATGCAGAAAATCTGCACGCGCGTTCCCCGTTACGTAATCCACGAATTATAAACAATCGGATGTTCGATTGCAAGCGGCAAACACGGCGTGTTTGTCATTCCTGACCGTGGGCCTTCGACGTTTCCACAGGCGCGAGAGGTTTGGCAATTGTTGCCCGTGACACTGTGAAACACTTTGGTATTTCACGCTGAACGGGTCAATGTTTTTGGGACACGATGGTGAAATTATTTTGCAACCGTAGTATGCGTACTAATTGCCCGGTAATTAACCTTTTCACATTTTCTCTTGTTCGCTTCTTTTTTATTTTATTTCGATTCGAGTGTGCTGAATTTGACATTGGGATTAGGTACCTAAAATATGGGGAAAGAAATAAAATTTATTTTAGGTATGCAAATTTTAATTTGATGGGAAGTTTAGTGGTAATGTGACGAATGATGTGACACTTGGCGAAAGGAGTGAAAAATTTGAATAAGCATATTGTGCTATTAATTTTTTGCACTGGGTGATATTTTCGTTATAGAAACATAGTAATTAGAAGACTTTCTGCCATAAAGTCGAGACGATATTTTTAACCCTTTGTACTCGACGATTTTTTCGTTACAAGAAAATAGTAATTCGAAGACTTTCTGCCATAAAGTCGACGATAATTTTAAAACGGTAAGTAAGAAATTGTACAGAAATCAAGACGTGGAATTATTTTACTTCGATATTTCACGCATCGTTGGATAATTGTAAATTTGATATATTGATTAATATGCAACTTTAGAATCTGATTAAATAGCGACTGAGAGGCACCTCTCGAGTGCAAAGGGTTGAAACCGTAAATAAGGAGTGTAAATTAATTGTAAAACGTAGAATTATTTTACCTCGATATTCCACGCGTCGTTGGGCAATTTTAAATTCGAGATATTAATTAATAACGATCTTTAGGATCTGATTAAATGGCGACTAAAAGTCGCCTCTCAAGTGCAAAGGGTTAGTTGTTCATTCTGGGACTAATATTTGAAGAAAGGAGTGGCTGTGTACTAATTTTGATACTGGGGCTAGGTACCTAAAATATGGGGAAAGAAATAAAATTTATTTTAGATATACAAATTTTAATTTGGAGAAAATTTTAGTGTTCATGTCGTGACGAATGATGTATGATACTTAGTGAAAGAGGTGAATAATTTGAATAAGCATATTGTTATTTATCGTTCATTCTGGGACTACTACTTGAAGAAAGGAGTGGCTAGAGTGATCGTAATTCGAAGTTGGAATTAAAAATAACCGATTAATGATACGTGTTAGGGTCAATCATCACTGTGTTAAAAATAAACGAAAGAAGAGACTGCCATCGATTTTTGAACAGAAAATTTGAGCATTAAGAAAGACTTTTTGCTACATTGAACTCAAATTAGCAGAAAATTCAGATTATTCCAGGAATAATTAATACACTTCACAGCTGTAAATGCTAATAGCAATGAATCTAATGCTTAAAATAGCTTGAAAATTTCCCTGGTTAATAGATACATTATAAATTGACATTAAAGTGATCAGCCATTGCTCCATTTATCTAACTCGATAACGATCGGTTTCCAAATTACTCTAACGCCTACGGAAAGCAATATCAATCAATTTTCAAATTTTTGTGTCTTCGTATCATCCACTTTCGTTAACTTTTTCAATAATTTTATCGGTAATTTTCTAAAATTAGTTAAACATAATTTGACGACAATTTAATTACGCAAATAATGCTCTAAGCGAGACGATGGGTTTATTCACGGCGCGAAATCG